ATCACATTACTGTAGTCCAGTGATCGGGGTGTGGAAAGCCGTGTAGAGAAGGGTCTGCCCCATGATTTACTCAGTTCATCATGTAAATCAGGAAACCGGTGTGGAGGTGGCGCGTGGTGCTTAAGAAACCTTTCATCAAGCTTACCACTAGCCTGTGGTGTCTGCTCCTCCTGTGGCCAGTTGATGTTGAGCTTAGCCACGGCTCTAGTCACTACCTCCAGCAGCTCGTCATAGTCGGGCGCCGCCTGATGACGTCGCCCCGACACACGGAAGTCATCGTCCACTATGCTGAGCCTCCTCGGAGGCAAGGAAAAACACACCTTCTGTACTTCTGGTTGCCGGACATGCTGGTAGACGTCTTCTTCAGGTAAGACACACTGCTTGAAGGACTGGAGCTTTCTTCAAACAACATACAGAGCGCCTGCTGAATAGAAAAAAGCTAATGATGAGTGTGTACAGGTGTGCTTTATACTCCTCCGGTTATTCCGTCACACCTTACCGTTCTAGCAACAAACCAATAGGATTGGAGTGATTTCATTCACATTCAGACCTGCTACGCCTAGAGGCGTTCCCATAGTGTTGTACCCGGCGCAGTTCGAGTTCCCTTGAAGGGGAACTACTAGTACCACCATCAATTAGAGAGCCCCCATCCTATTCCTACTCATTTAAGAGTAATGTTAAAAAATGGCTTATTGAAAATCAACACTGACGCTGGTCCCATCCACCAACAATAACTGTATCATCAATTTTTAGATTGTATCTGCTTATGTTGTTTACTCGATTGTTTACCTTTTGTCTATTGTATAATGTATTTTATTGTATTATAACAGTTTACTATTTTAGTAATAATAATTTAGTAGTATCTAATAACATCTGGCAAGGTGACTGCCAATGAAAAGTAACCTGTGTCTAACTCGGGTACACTTACATTTGCTTTGATTATAGATCATTGTACATTGTCCCTTTTTCAAATAAACAATAAACTTCTTCAGTGCCCGAGTCTTTTAATGTGGAAACGCAGACACACAGCTGAGCTGAAAGAACAAGGTTGATATTTTCATACAGGTCGTATAAACACATCAAATCAACGCATTATTATAGACTACACCTGTTCATTTAGGCCAGTGGTTCTCAATCTTATTTGGGCCAGTGCCCCCCTATCCATTATCCAGGTCCCTTATGAAAAAAAAATGTTTGCTATTTGCCATGAACATTGTTATTAAATACATGGAAAAGGTTACAAAAAAGCCATGTGAAAAGTAATTATATTTAACTAATAAGTGAATATTCCTCCCAGAAACTGTGTGTGAACCCAGATACTGTTTTCTTGGATGGGGCACTTAATAAGTGGGGGGTATGGTGTCCTCCCCCAGAAGATTTTGAGCATTAAACACTTAATTTCCTGTATTCTGGTTAAAATTTCTCTTCCAATTTCTTCCTTTTCTGCACCAAATTGTGGAAATGTCTAAAAATTCAGGTAGCAGATGACAATTCAAAAATATATAATTATAATAGAACATAATCTAGTGAGGCTCTCAGGCATTCTCATTGCTTTTAAATATTTTTCTCCTGTAGATCAACTTATTTAATACCATCCCTGCTGAGTCAACACACACGACTAAGTCTTACCACCTCTTTTGTGGGGAAGTAACCTTTTTAAATGTGTTTGTTATTAGCTCATCTGTTATTAACTTATTATAAACTCAGTGTTTCCCATAGAATGACAGAGTAACTGTGGCGCAGATACAGCCTGCTAGCCTCAAAAACCCAGCTGTATTCTAAAATTAACTTAGCTCTCCTTATTAGCAAGGCTCCTTACATGCTTGATAATAACTTTTGATAGTTGGGTCTCCGACATTGAAAGCGGTGACAGTTTTGTCTAATAATTCTGCATACTAATATATTCTGCCTGATCACAAGTGTTTTTACTTAGTTTTGGTTTCCACCTCCTTGTCTCATCAATACAGTCTCAAACAGTTCTGTGTCTGTCAGATGGTCTGAAGGGGACACTATCACATAGGCAGAGCAACGTAATGCACAGCAGAGTATAGGGCAGGTAGACTTTAAAAAAATGTTATGAATCCTCAAATGATTCTGACTTTTTTCTCAATATGTCAGAGAACATGTGTGGGAGAGATTCTGAATGTTCAGAAAACCTGCTGAAACACAGGAGCTATTAAAGTCCAGGAGTTTCTAACTGAATTAAAATGAATAAATTTATCATTGAGGTGAAAAGGTGCCACATATACCATGAAAAATATTTGAAAGCAACACAGAATAACTGAGAGCTGCACTGACTTAGATTCTGTTTGTTTTAGAGTTTGAATTGTCACCTGTCATGTAAATTTTGTGTTTTTCCCTTTACATATATAAAACATTTCACCATAAATTGGAGAAGAATTGCAGAAAGTTTCACCAGAATGCAGGAAATTAACTGTTTAATGCTCAAAATGTTCATATATTTCAGTATTGAAGATTTGTTAAAAACTATTAAAATCTTGTCTCATGAACCTAATATCGTGTCCTCTCACACCCCTAATAATTAACATGTCTAGAATGACCTCAAGCTAGATTCAACAGCTGATAGATGAATAAGAGGCATTGAGTGATTTTGTGATTCACAATACAAATAGTTGATTATTAGGGGTCAAAGCCCGAGTGGGCTGGGAACCCGCGAATTCAAGGCATCACGGTTCCCAGTACCAGTGAAGCGGCTGGGAACCCTATTGTTTTCGCTCGGATTTTTATTATTAGGGGTCCGAGCCCGAGTGGGGCTGAAAAGGTTCACAGATCCAGCAGAGCTGGGAACCCTATTGTAATCATTCTTGTTTTTCTGTTATTTATTTTTTTATTCTTCTGCCGCTAATTCCACTACTGCAGCCTAGACGGTAACTGATAGGGTAGGTACAAGCCCCTGCAAGTAACTCAGGCGCAATCTACCACTAGGGGGCGCTATAAACAAGGTCAACACGTTTGGACTTGGAACTCCCACTTACGAAAGGCGCATATCAAAAACCTTATATCAACACATTTGGGGGATCCAGCTGAATCTCATGGTATATGCCATGCCCATTTCTGTCTTTTCTGTCTGTTTTCACAATATCGCGAAAACTGAAAAACCTACTTTAATTAACTCTTCCAATCAGCACCAAACTTGGCACGGACCATCTCTGAATGAAGCTCATACAAGTTTTTGCTCCCCGTATTGATATGCGAAAAACTGTTGGACTTATAAGCTAAATCTTTGTGAAAAACGCTAAAAACAGGATGTGATGTCATATCTTAGGTTTAGAATGACCGATCTACACCAAACTTGGCGACCTTATCTGGCACGCCCTCCTGAGGGGCTGTGTGAAATGTGGTGTCAATCGGTTTCTAGGTGGCGTTATAAAACATATATTAAATAACACTCCCATAGACGTACATTCATTTTATATCCCCATAAACACAAGTCCCTTTAATTTCAAACTCCGTAGGGCAAGGGGAGCGGCTGGCGCCGGGGGGCTTGGACCCCGCTTACAACTGCTTGCAGTTCTAGTTATAATTGCTTCTGTATTAATGTATATGGACTGCTATGTAGCAGAATCGAGTTACAAACTCGTATTCACTTTACACTGTGTGCAGAGGAATGAGGTTCTCCAATAGCAACAGCAACATGATATCATGGAATGGTGTATAAATAGCATGCCACTTTTAAAGACATCAAGGCATTTTAAGGTTTCCGCGTGTCATTTCACGCTGTTTAGACTGCATTGACTTCTATTGTGCAGAAACGGGGTGTCAGTTCAGTCCCTATAGAACTAAGCAACACAAAGGAGGTTAACCCTATCTGCGCAGCTGTAGGGTTAACGGGTCGACATGCATATTTAATTAATGATGGTTAAGGTTAGCAATAAAGTACATCGGGGGGATGCCAATGCTACCATCGTTAGGTAGCTAGCTACTTAACCTTTAACATATCTATCGCTATGTAGCTAATGTTAGCAACGATGTTGCATAGTGACTTACGTAACGTAGTACCTAATGGACTCTAAATGGCGAGCTAACGTGGCTAACTTTAGCAATGATGTAGAATGGTAACCTACTTAATGTAACGTCAATAAAACCCAAAAACTAATGTTGTGTAATTATTGTTTCTCTCGGGAACCGAACGCCGGTATCCTGGGTCAGGGACCAATTCACTATCCACCCGACCACCCCTTTCATGGATATTTATATCCCACATTACCTGTGACAGTATGCGTAAAATGGCACGCTGTTTCTGCACAATAAAAGTCAATGGACTCTAAATGGCAAGGAATAAAACATAAAATGCAAAAAATACGTTGGAATAAACACCAAATGACTTAAGAAATCAGCGTGTTATTCATACGCCTTTTGATGATACCAGGCTGGCAACAACAGTCATTACGTGCAATTGTGTCTGCTTGTAGAACCCATCCTCTAATTCATCTCATGTACCTGTAAACTTCAATCTCAATTATCATTACGTCAGATGGTTGATCAAGGTTTAATTCATATAGCTCATACTGAAACGGACATAAAATAAAATTGAAAGATTGACAGATAAATAAAAAGGATAATAAAATTCACCACTCCAATATTTGAAAATTAAGTTTATAAATGTACCTTTGATTGGCATTTTACAGAACGCTGCGTTGACTGCAAACATAATAACACAATCAGTGAAATTGGCAAACAACCTGAAGGTTATGTCTCTCACTTTATATTTCATTCCACCATATAATTTTACCAGCAGCTATCTCTTAAAATCTGTGTGTAGGTCTGGTCTGAAGTATATGTGAGGTACACTCTTTGCACATTCTTCCTTTATAAGAGTAGGTTGAAGGCATGGTTTTTGTGCACACCATCCATGAATAGGGCCTCTGCTCTGTCTAAGATAACTATCTGAACAGTTTTTAAAAAGTCATCACTATCGAGAAATGTGTGTTACCAATTGTGTTATCACTTTCAAGTTGCACTGTTTAAAGATTACATACATGTGGGTAACCCTGGACAGGTTGTGGAAGGAATACCTCTCAAGGTATCTTAAAGTATCATCATCAGAGATGGATCTGTAAAAAACACAAACAAATAAAATACAACAAATACAATCTAGAGCATAACACTATATTTGTATTTGAACAGATTTGTTTGTTTTGTTAGCTTTATTCTCATTGTCGTGAATGATGCAGGGCTGCCGTACAGGTCTAAAACAATAAGCCTCTCTATAAAGTGAGACTTAAGAATGATTAAGTCAAACTGTGCCTTAATCTAAATGAATATGGAGTTAATAATGGCATGCAAATTTACTTTGTACTTTGGTACTGATGGTGTGGCTTATGCTAATGATCAAATCCTGCAACGCAGTTACTCACAAACAAGTTGTATTTATCAAGTTGAACGAAAGTCCCCAGTCGATTCTTGTGTGATGAGGTGTAGTTCTATTTCGCATAGGCTTTGCCCTCTAATGCTATCACTAGTGGGTTATATATATTAGTGTTGTAGTACTCTAGACCGGTCTTGAGACCACTTTTTGATGGTCTTGGTCTTGCCTCGGACTCTACCGCATTTGTACTTGGTCTTGTCTCGGTCTCGGACATAGAGGACTCTGGATTTTATTTCAACCATAACTTTGGTAATATCAATAAATTGCTTTTGCATCTTCTGATGTATTTGTTAACGTCCTAATTTTGATTGTATGTAAAGCGTACTGCTTCAAATGCAACCAATAACCCAGACTGTCACCCCTCCCGGCGATTGCAATATTTAAGTTGATTTCAGCTCTTAGTGTTTGTATATGGGTGTTTTAATGGGAATATGGATGTTTCAGATCAATTTGAGAAGTACCTATGATCTCGTTCTACATTTTATTGTGTGGCATGTGGGGAACTGGTCTTGGTCTTGGCTCATTCACACCCTCCTTCGGTCTTGGTCTGAATTTGGTCTCAGCCCCTAAAAATTTGGGCGGACTACAATATATATATATATCCCCGAGACCAAATTTATTTAAAGTATAAAATAAATAAGCCCATTCCACCCAATCAAGGGCTTTCTCGGCTTCTAGAGAGAGGATTGTACATTGCTCACGATGTGCTTACTCATACAAAAATGCAAAATCATAATAATAAAAAGAATATAAAATCAGACACAGACTTCAGTGTAGACAACACAAATAAACACTATGAACAAAAACATAATAGACATATTGGCAAATAGTGCAGTGAGCAGAGTGCAAAGGTTGCAGGAGTATGTACATGTCGGAGGTGGATGTGATATACAGGTACATATACATGCATACATGTACACATGTACTCAGTGCAATGAAGCATAGTGCAAAGGATGCTGGAATAAATAAGTATTTTGTGCAGGAGTAATGAGGTGGATTTGGTATACAGTATCTACAATATAACAATATGAACAGCACTGAAATAGAGAATGGTGAATAAATAATAAGTTTTAGACAGTAAACAGGTGGGTGATTAGAGGCAGAGTTACTGGGTTATTACACAAGAATTGTTCCTTACACTGTGAGTCAGAAATCCGCTGTTCATCAGAATGACGGCTTGTGGGAAGAAACTGTTCGTAAGTCTGTTGGTTCTGGCGTACAGTGCTCTGTAGCGCCTCCCAGAGGGGAGAAGCTGGAACAGGCTGTGTCCGGGGTGAGATGGATATGCAGTGATGTTTCCTGCCCGTTTCCTGATTTGGTGAAACAGAGGGGGCAGATCTGCAGAAGTCCAAGTTAGTACTGTTGAGGAGAAGCAGCTCGTCCATTTTGTTGGCCAGAGAGCGGACATTTGGCAGGTGAATTGAAGGGAGCGCAGTGTGAAAACCCCGCTGTCTCAGTTTAACTAGCGCGCCTGCTCCTTTCCCCTGTGCCGTTTCCGAAGGATCCCAAACAGAGCTGCTGCTCCTCCAACTAATAACTCCGGGAAAGTTCGGGGTATGTTAAGGAGCAGTGGAATATTATGAGCAGTTGAAAGTCCAATATTTAAGAGCTCTTCTCTGGTAAATGTTTCCAGAGAGGGACAGCAGAAAACAGCATTACTAAACAAAAACACAAAAAGCACTACAGAGCGTAATCCAGAGGCTGCCGTCTGCGGCGCCATCTTATAGACATCGAGAAGGCACCTGACATTGGTACGGGAGTTACGACCTATAGAAATAAAACTTGACCTATGATCCTACCAAAACATTGTAGGCTAGTGTACATGTGTGCAATGTAAATATAAATTAAATAAATAAATAAATAGCCCACAGACTCAATAATGAAATGAAATAAGGTGAGACAAGGTATGGTTAAAAAAAACTGTTTGGTCTAGGGGCCTCACTCCTGTTTCCAACTTCCCTTTATTAATTATACCACACCCACAGCTACTATGGTGAGGCTGATTTGCCAATCAGTGGCCAAATTGTCCATCAAATCAGTGAATCGGAACTACAACCAAAAATATGGGAAGTCTTAAAATAATAACTACTGTTCTTTAAATATAAACAAAAACTACTATTTTGGCTCCTACAAATGGACCCCTCTTATATTCCATGTACACAAATGTAGCTTATTACCTGCCATACTGTTTATATCTACCGTCTATATAGATAGATAATTCAGTTTGAAGTTTAGCTAACTGATGAGTTTCATCTGGCTTGATCGATGGATATAACTGAGTATTATCTGCATAACAATGAAAGTTTATGGAGTGTTTCCTGATAATATTGCCTAAAGGAAGCATATATGAAGTGAAGAGGATTGGTCAGAGCACAGATCCTTGTGGAAATCCATGACTAACTTTGTCTGCTCGACATTCACACTGTTACACATTCACACCTGGAAGCTGCCCAGTACAACCGCAGCCGTTGGGGTTATGGGCCTTGCTCAAGGGCACCTCAGTGGTGGTAAATGAGGGAGGGCAAGCACTGCTTGGTTTACTTTCCACACCCAGATTTTATCCTGCCAGTTCGGGGATTGAACCGGCGACCTCCCGGTTTTAAAACAATAAATCTGTCTGACAGTCTGGATGCCGGATTATGGTGTGTATGTAATGGTTGCTGATGTAAGATGGGAGTCTGTGACACAGTTTCAGTGTTTTGTTTTGGATGATTTGTAGATGTTGTAGCTGATTGTCAGAAATTGTGATCCAAGCTGGGACGAAGTATTCAAAGAGTGGTCTGATGTATGCCAAGTAAACTTCAATTACTGTGCAGGGTTTCTGCCTCTTAAAAGGAAGTTTTTCCTTGCCTCTGTTGCCTAATGCTTGCTCATGGTGGGAATTGTTGGGTCTCTGTAAATAATACACAACTGTCGTTGTGAACTGTCACTATATAAATAAAAATTGAATTAGGGCGATGGGGCCATGTTTTCCACAGAGGGCTTTGAGGTGGTTCAATCGTTTGTTTGCTTTTTGCTTTTTGCTTTTTTATTTTTTGTCCAGGTCATGTTGTTTTGAGATGTTACACTGACAAATGTTGCTTTTTTACTTATATTGATATTTTCTAATTGTTTAGTGACAGGTTGATATTGTTGGGCAGGTGGTGGTTCTTGGTGAAGAGGACACATTGTGTCTTGGCAAGATTCAGTTTGATTCTCCACATGTTTGACCAGGTTTCTATTTCAGATATGCATGTATGAAGTTTATTTGCTGCTAAGTTTGGAAATTTGGAACTGGACCAGTAGCAGAGATCATCTGCAAACTGTGAAACGTGGCTATGGTAGCTGGAGGGTAGTAGATGTCAGCGATGTACATGAGGAATAGAAGTGGGCTCAGAACTGCACTCTGTGGAACTCCTGCTGGGGGGGTGAAATGTGTTGAGATGGTGGAAGAAAATTTCACTTTAATTTGGCGGTCATGGAGAAAGCTTGAAATGATGGAATGGGTTGTGTTTGGGAGTTTGATGTTTGTGTCGAGTAGTCTGTTTTGAATCCAACTTTATCAATAAAATGCATTTAAAAACAACCAGGTTGACCAAAGAGCTGTACATTGACATAAATGGCAATGGCACAAACACATGGCTGCATAAACACATGGCAGTACATAGCACATCCAAACTACCTGCTTAGTTTTTATAAATATCTAGTAAGGATCTATCATCCTTCTTCTTTAGGATAGCTGAAGCTGTTGGCTCCTGCTCACAAAAACCCCTACATGTTTCGGCAAACCTTTTCAGGCTGTCCTTTCTTTTAAAGGTAGACCTCAAGGTATTGAACATATCTGGGTTAGCCACTGCAAGTTCCGCAATTGGAGCCTGAGACACAATGGTATTCCGATCAACCCCAAGCCTTGCATAAGCCTCAGCTTAGCCAATGTGTTCCTTTTTAATCTATTCCAACACCATGTTGTAGCGGCGGATGGAGTCATCAGGGGTTTTTACTGTAAGACAAGAGAAAGTGTTAAAGGTTTAATCCAAACATCCTAGTAATAGTGCTCTAATACAGTTACATACAATTTTACAATTGCTTAATCATCAAACAAATATAAACAAACTACCACAGACCTGCAGCAGTTCTAACATTTTTTACAGGTCTCTCTTCTAACTTGGTTTACACAAAAACAACAGACTTAAAATCTGTGAAATTTGGGTACAAAGGAGCCATACAACTCCTTTTAGGAGAGGGATCACCGCTGCAGTAATGGTGATTTGGTTTTCTTCTGAGATTCACCAAATAAATCAATAATTAGGAGCAATCCCAAACCATTTAGTTGGGAGTGGATATTAAATAATATCCTGCATTTTCTTTGGCAATTTGCCCTGTCAAAAATAAGAACATGTGATGTGCTGTGGAATTGACTAGAGGAAAAAGTGTAGGTGTTAACATTCATTATGGACCTACTGCCCAATTGGTGATGATACAGTGGATAAGACACGTGACTTTGGTGTGAGAGACCTGGGTTCAATCCCCCACTGTGACCCATCCACCAATGTGTCCCTGAGCAAGACACTTAATCCCTAGTTGCTCCAGAGACGTGAGACCTCTGACATACAGGTGCTGGTCATATAATTAGAATATCATCAAAGAGTTGATTTATTTCAGTAATTCCATTCAAAAAGTGAAACTTTGATATTATTTTCATTCATT